AATTCCGATTATTATATCTATCAGCCACACTCATTGACTGTTTAGGTTTCTGTACGTCAACCAACGTTCGTAAAACACACAACAAACCCGTTTTGTTTTTCTTTATAATTGTACTATTATGAAAGGTTACCATGCGACAAGCCGAGTTAAGATTGTTTAAATTAAAAAAAATAGTACTAATACTTGAGAACATAACTTTTTCGCAACTATCTTGAGAAGATGCGACCGCTGACTAAATAATAATAACAATGCAACAAACACTCTGCTTTCTTTCAGACTCTACTTCAAGTGAATAAACATTGCTTATTAGTTAATTACGCCACGCAGAAATTGCGAAAGTCAATAGAACGTCTAATTGTCCGAACAAAAAAAAATCTGCGCAATCGGAATTTCGATTGGGAAAAAAATCCTTAGGCGTTCGTTTCGTCGTCTTGTTTTTACTTTTGCAGCAGTGTTTTTACACCTTGCTCTTCTCGTTTTTAATGGCATCGGATGATCGTTGCAGTCTGGGTATTTCCTATACAATCCCATAGTGGTAATGTATTCAGTGACGTTGACTTTTGTGTGTATGAGTATGTGTATGCAATGGACTTTTTGCATTCTTCATCCAATAAAATCAAACTCTGTGCGACCGACCTTGCGTCGGTTTGTTGCCTCTTGCACTTTTGCACAGTTTCCACTTGCCGGATGTATATAATACGCACTATGAAACTTGTTAATTAACGAATGAGATTTCGATGCGCAAGTTTCTCGTTAAACTATTTTTTTTAAGACGTCGTCGTAAAATTTCTAGTTTCGTGTTATTTTCTTTTCGCCGTCATGAAAATGATCCTAGATTCCACTGACTATGCAATTGCTATCTATAGCTTTCAGTTGCTATGGAAATGTTACTATTTAGGAATTCTCGCTTATAATTATATCTAAACACATCAATACTTATTTGTTTTTATTTTCTTAATTATAATAGTATGCACGAAAGTGCGTAAATAATAACAGGGAACGATTAAAACTGAAACGTATTATTATATAATGCAATAATATTGTGATGCTATGGAAAAATTGAAGACGAATGTAATAAAATTGAAATTGCAAAGTTGTTTACAATTAATAATTACAGCGAGACAAGATCCGTAAATTCAATTTATAATATGCACATAAATACATTACAAATATTGATTATTTATGTAGATTCTTAAATCGCTTCAGGTGTTGCTGTTGTCTTCATTACATTATAAATATTTATCTTTATTCAAATATATATTTTTTTCGCGAAACATTGGGACGGTGACAATTAGAGAAGTGCATAAAATGATTTAATAATTTCTTTTTAAAATTACATTACATACAAAGTGAAATCATATTTTTAAATATGAGTCTAAAGTTGATTGTTTGTCCACTTAACTTCTTTCAAAATTTTGATCTTTTTCACTAAATAAACAAAACTTATGCAAGTAATCAATTTATAACATCCTATTTATCGATATTTTCGAAATCTATTTCATGTATATTATTTTCTTCTTCTAGTACAACTTCTGACTGAGGTATGACTGTATTGACTTTTTCTATTTGTTTGTAACTTTTAGAAGTCCGCTTTTCCACTAATTTCAGTTTAAATCTACAGTTTTTGAAAAAAAAAACTCATCTTCTAAGCTTTACTAAATAAGATTTTCGATTGTTTGTTTTTAAAATTTGCTGTGGTTTCAGTGCAAAGATAAATTTATGTCTTTATTTATGATTTGTTAATTAAAATTTTTGAATATCTACAGTACTTCACACTATGCAAATATCTTCTGAATTCATTCTTCTATCAGTAATTATATAATTTCAGCAATAATATCGAGCAATCTTCAAATAATGCCGACTTAAATAGGAACTTTCTCTAATTTTTGAGCAGTCAAATGGGAATGTCTTGTATCAAAATGTTACAAAAAAATGACTAAATTTAACATTGATTAAATATAAATAATAATGATTATTAATATTTATGTTTTTCTCATTAATTAATATAGTAAACTTAATCTTTCAAAAAAGGCGTAAATTAAGTTAAAACATATAATTAGAAGGAATTTTGTAACTTTAACGAAAAACGGAAGCGTTAACATACTAGTAGCGCTTTCGTTTATCGTTATTTATTATAATTTGATTATTACATTATCTTTTGATCGAGCATTGAAATCTTTTAGAAAAGGCGTAAATTGTGTTGAAGGTGTAACATCGAGTAACATAATTAATACATATTTATTTTGGTAAATGGTTTCCGAATAGGAAATAAACCGAAAAAAAAACAGGTTCCGTTAATTTCCTTAAAATTCCAAAAAAAAATTATTGTTTATATTTCTCTCTTTCTCTTCGTACAGTCACCGAAGAAAAGAATGACCTTTGGTGTTTAAAAGAAAAATGGCGCGTATACAACTCTTTAAATCGAAGATTACACCTAATCTAATCAATCAAAATTGATTATACCGTTGCGTATAATTTAGAGAGAAAGATCGAAACGATTTGTCGATGCCAATTTGTAAATATTTCGCAACGCACGAACACAACGTGGATGGAAGGTGAAAATGAAAACGTTTTAATTGTAGAAGGTTGGGTGCGTAGAAGACTCATAAAAAGGAAACTCATTTATCCGTTTTCGCTACTTTTAATTGCGCCTGTGGCATTTCGAAAATTCCGCTCCTAATCCGTCTGAAACCTTACGTAAAAACGTAGTAGGTTAATGTCAAATAAATAAAATTGTATGGATTTCTTATTATTGTGTGCAAATTACACAGGCGCAATTACCAAAAAAAGGCGCTTAAAAGGCATCTTCATTCGCTTCTCCGCGTCATCATTACACTTCATTTTTTTTTCTGTGCCAAACATTCTTAATACACGCGTCGTGCCTATATAATGTTAAAGCACATTGTTAAAGGAATTCTATTGTCGAAGAAAAACAAAAAGAACCAATTGAATATTGAAATGCATTAAGTAATCATACTACGTTTTATTAATGTATTGAACTTGTATTTTTAATAGTTATTTTCGTGAATGACCAATGCTTATTTTAATTTAAAGAATAACAAAGTTCAACCATTATCTGATTAAAATTTATTTTATATTTTTATTATACCAATCTCTTTATATTAAAGTACATATGTAGAATGACCAAAAGCTGTTTTTAATAACATTTGTTTTGGCGTCAATTGAATTGTTAGATTTTAATTGATTCTTTTAATATTATTTTTTTGTTATTATTTAAAAAAAAGTCACATCGATTTCATATTTATATTAAAAATTTCAAAACAAAAAGAAATTAATTCAGCAAAATAAATACAAATTCTAAAAAAAATAGTACACAATATAATTTTGTATACATTAATAATTGTGCGGTTTATTTTTATGCGATTTTAAAGTCCTCGTTTAGTCTAGTTTCAAACAGTCCGGAATATTGGCGAAATCTCGAGAAATTTCTAGCATAAACAATTGCAATACCGTAAACAATCAATAAACAATTGACAAAAATAAACAAGTAATACCAGACAAACTAAATTTACAATAGATTAAGTAATCCTCTTTTTAAATTTATTATTCTTTTGTGTCTACAAAATGTGTTTATAAGCATGAATTAAATTTGAAATTCAAATTTTAATTACATTTGTTTAAGGCATGTAATTTTTAGTATTTTTGTAAAATGTTTATCCGTTAGTTCGGTAATTTAGAGAGAAAGATCGAAACGATTTGCCGATGCCAATTTGTAAATATTTTGCAACGCACGAACACAGTGTGGATGGAAGGTGAAAATAAAAACGTTTTAATTGTAGAAGGTTCATATGCGTAGAAGACTCATAAAAAGGAAACACATTTATCCGTTTTCGCTACTTTTAAAACAAAAAGAAATTAATTCAGCAAAATAAAAATAAATTCTAAAAAAATAGTACACAATATAATTTTGTATACATAAATAATCGTTGTTTTCTTTCTATAGTATAGACCAGCGGTCGGGGAACTTTTTTAACCATTACCCCAAAATATTATTGCGTAAGTCGATATTACCCCCCCATACTGAAAAGAAAACAATCAATGTAAACTTTAAATAAACATTATTTATTGAATTAATTTACATTTACATATTTATAAAAAAAGTTACATGAAAATAGTAACAAATAGTAATATACAAACAAAATAAAATTTATTATTTTTTTGTGTCTACAAAATATGTTTATAATTTCAAATTCAAATTTTAATTACATTTGTTTAAGGCATGTAATTTTTAGTATATTTGTAAATTGTTAACCGTTAGTTCGGTTTCAAACAGTTCAAGATATTGATGGTAGTGATGACCCGCACTTTGTGAGATATTGGTTATTGTTACTGGACAAATGTGTGAAAAAAATGAAATTGTCTTTTTCTCAGCAGATTTGTTTTAATATAATTTGTTTTTTTTCGTAAATAAATGCTTTATTAGTATATAAAGTATATAAATATGGAAGAAACAATTTTAAGAATGGAAATAAGTCAAAATTTAGTGGTTTTAAAAAAGGAAGAAATAAATTATTGGATTTTATTGAATGATTTATATTAATATTATTTTGTATGTTAATGTGTCAATTTTATATAAAAGTATTTATCTGATATAAATAATAGCATTATTAAGAAGAAATAAATGAAACAAAGTAGGAAACAAAGAAAATAACAAAGAAATTGTTCTTAAATAGGAATATTTAAATTATTATTGGGTGGTGTTGGATTAACTTACCTTAGATTCATGTTGCAATAGGTTAATGTCAAAGGAACGAAAAAGAAAAACATGTCTTTATGCAATTGGAGAGCAGTAGGTTAATGTCGGCGCCAAAAAGGAATAAGAGAAGAATGCAAAAAATAATCAACAAAAACAAAAAGCAGCAAGTGAAAAAAATAATAATAATAAACAAAAATCGCTCTTCGAGTGTCGAAGGTGATCGACTTCGGGATTCCCCCTCGAGCGAGGAAGGAAAGGAAAAGGAATAAAGGCATATAGTTTTCGGGTATAGTAGAGAGCGCCGCCGTCCGTCCAAGAAGAAGGAGCTTCGAGACCCCCACCAGGTGGAGAACAGGTGATATAAATCCAAGCACGTCGCCGCAACCTGGGTTTGTTGCGTGCTTGACTTTTGCCTTCGTCCACATCCACCTTCCCCCCAAACGCAAGGACAGAAGAAAAGGGACAAAAGGATTTCACAAGAACGCTTCGAAGTGGGTGACGTCCCGGAAGGAAGTTAAAGAAACGTCCAGTGCGAATTTGGAACTTTGAACTTTGCAACATTGAATACAGCATCACAAAGAAGGTGAGTAAACAGAGACAAAAAAACGCGATTTCTATCCGTACCGATTCGAAGGAGACAAAAGGCAGGATAAACTACAGGACGCAACCTTCGCGTGCGTGTATAGAACGTAAACGCGTTTTCCTTGCGCGGTTTTTCCGTGAAACGCGCTCTTCCTTATCGCAGCTCTGCACCACATTCGACATTTAAAAACGAACAAACAAATAATTGCAACTCCGATAAGTTATAATTATCTATTACCTATCCTATCGCTGGGCAACAACAAAAACATAAAAAAATAGATCAAATTGGCTGTGTGCGCTTACGCAATTTCGCAACACGGCGATCGCGGTGGCCGCGAGTTTCGCAACAATTGAAAACAAATACATGAATAAACGGAACGAAAGGAAGGATGAAATGCTCGTTGCGGCAACTAACTAACATCGGCCAGCTAATTGATTGTCACTGTTTCCCAACTTTTCGAGAAACTATCAACCCCCACTCAGCGTGAAAACGTACATACTTTTGCTGTTTCCATTTGCAAACAAATAAACGGCATAACAATTAAACAACGCAAAATTCCAATTGATTACCTCAAAACGATAATCTTTTCTTAAGTAATTTAATATATTGTAGCTTACTTAATATTTGCTTGCGGCTCACAGAAGTGTGTCAAATTGAATTCCGTCGGATTACGGTCAGTGGCGTGCAGCATCCGAAATTCAAAGTTACTTATATGAAAGTATTTATTTTATTATACTGACACTCAATTTACCAACACTATAAAACATGAAAAACTGCATTACAAAAAAAAACAAATTACCAACTAACTTTTTTTAAATCTCCTATTAATTTTAATAGGTATACTATAAATATATATTTATTTGAACTTAATAGTTATTATTAGGTATTAATTTTTACACTAAAAAGAGAAGTTAATAATTTGTACATAGTATAAATAGAATAAATTAATAGAGAAGTTGGGAATTGGTCTAAATTATATTTATACAAAAATCTATGAAATAATTAGTATCAACTTATTTATAGGAAACTAATGATTTTAAACGTTGCTATTGAGTTAATGTATAGCGATTAATTTTTGTTTATAGTTAATATAATGTGCATTAAATTGTTTTTTTTTATAGAAAATACGTTGGTAATGCCAATTGAAACAAATAGTTAATTGTGGTATGTTAATGCGGTGTGTTATCTCCAATTGAATTGATAAACGTAAGTAAATGATAACGATCTGAAAACACCAAATACCGCGATGTAATGAGCACAAAAAATGCGAGTGAAAAGAGGTATAATTAAAATCAAATTATATTTTACAAAGTGTGCACAAACAAAATCCTCACCTGTCACATAAATACCAACCGCCATAAAAATACAATATTAAACAATCAATTGTTTATTACCATTTTATTCTTACCGATTGCCGATGTTAATAAACAATGCGAAGGTTAGAAAAAAAAAAGAAATTGGTCTTCTTGCTTCAGAAAAAAAAACACACAAGATCATATTGTAATATGTTAATTTCGTTCGAAATATGTGGTGCATGGTTCGTAGATTATTCATACATTAACAATTTCAAATCTAGACTATCGATTCCAGACGTATTGGCTTCAAAGATTTTATTGACCTCTTTGAGAATTTCTTAATTTTTTATATGCATAATAGGACCAGCAATAAAGACGACAACATAAGTGTTTATAGATTCTAGTTTTTTTTTCTATGTAAAAAATGAAATAAAATTGACTGTAATTTATTAATATTTTGTAATAGAAGTTTTGTTGAAAAAATGTAATTATTTATAATTGATGTCGAAATAAATTGGGTAATCAATAAATTTTGGTAACACAGACGCGAACGTCAGAGATTTCGAGACATTCTTAACCCTGAAACCAAATAATTATGACACTTTCAATAAATCAGAGGGAAGAAAATTCTTGTCGCCTATATTATATGTATGCATATGTATACATTGTAATAATAATAATTGTAGATAAAGTTAGGTTTATTTGCTTATAATAAGAAAATGAATTTCCATATGGATGTTTATTCAGTTTGTTTTCAGTAAATATTTTTGTTTTCAAATTCCATTAGATGACGTTTATTAAATGATGAAACTAAACAAATAAATGCATGTGCGATGGAGTTAAATTTTTAAAACTGGAAATTTACATAATTGCTAAGCCTCGTTTAGCGATCTGCGGTTTTTCCTAGGGATTTTGTTTTGTTTTCGATAGGTCAAATTAAATACTTTCGTAGCCATCGGCAACGAAGTAAAAATATGAATTTGTGTTCTTCGTGGAGTGAATTAATCGAGACGCCTCTGGTTTGCTACTGTTTGCGTTCATTTAAAAGCAAGAGCGATCTCATATGAAAATGGAAAGTGCTTTACAGTAAAGTAGCTTATTCTGTCTTTCTCTTGCATACGCTTCTCTTTGTCGATTGCGAACAAACGCAGACGGTAGATTAAAATATACAGGAATTTTCCGCGGAAACGGTGATTATCATGCAAGGATCTTCGAGAGCCTGAGGCCATTCTCCTGTGTCCGAGCGCAAAGGTCGCAAAGCGAAAACATTATCATCTTCGTCCGATATACCATCAAGTGAAACGATTATAGCTGAAAATTCTGCTGGAAATTGGAAACACTTTCACTGCGCGCGCCCCGCGAATCCAGGTGCTGGTCGTGCGATGTGCAATATGCCACATGCCGTTGCTGAATCGCGAAAAAAAATAATTGGATAACAAACGAAAATAAAAAAATATATCGCCTACTAATGAGCTGCAGCAATTGTCGAACGGTTCGATTTCGGTGAGTTTCAATTTTCCTTATCCGTCGGATAGGTAATAATTGCCAGGAAGAAGGACGACGATAATTGAAAGTTGTACGTAATTCGGTTCTGTTCTTATTCGGAGCGTATCGTGTAATAAATAAATTGGAATGTTTTCGCAAAGTCGACGAGAAACGGCCGGGTTAATGAATAAACATTAATTTGCACGTTTGATTGTTAGTTTTTAACGATCAAAATAAAAAGAGAGACGAGAAACAGAGGTGTTTCTTCAAGGTAATTTTCATAATGATTTAAACGCGTGAAGTGATTTCAAGTAAGTTCCTCTAGTGTTGTCCTTTAGATATCCGTTTAAGTGATGGATCAGAGGAAGAGTCCTTGCAAAAGCGAAATGATAAATACGCATGAACGTACGCAAAAACAAAAAAAAAATAAATGCGTAGGCATTTGCAATGATCTTCGAAGGTATTAACCTAGATTCAGCCAAAATCAAGGTTACTATTTTATTGAATTAAATTCATGAAAAAAAAAAATACTGAAATGGTGGCGAACTTTCACGATCGAACTTATTTATATATAAATTAAATGCATTTGCCAATTTACGTTTTGTACTTGCTTCCTAAAGCTTATCTATAAACAATTGCAAAAGTCATACAAAACAAGAAATTAACAAAACTGAAATATTTATATATAGATAATTCCAATTAACAATAACCATTTCAAAGGGTTATTGACCAAACGAGTTTCCACCCAAAAACATATTTATTATTTACAAGTGCAATTCACAACTTTGTAACAGTTAATTATATTTTTCTTATATAAATAAGTTTTATTTTTTTTATTTGTTTATGTATGACTGTTTCAATAAATATTATTATTTATCAAAAAAATGAATTTGTTATTTTATTGTTCAATTTTACGAGGGAGTATAATACGCAGTAAACTCAAAAAAAAGTGATATGTAATTTTGTTTTTGTTTCAATGCAATTGGCTGCGTATGTTTTTCGTATATATTAGAGCCATTGTTTGATGTATCAAGGCGACTAGATCCAATTTAAATATTTCGAATAGTTTATTTCCGAGTAATTTGCTAAAGTTATTAGCATTGCGAGAAGGAAATCGTTAAACCGATGTAGTGTGATCGATTAAATGTATGCCTTCGTTTGACATGAGGTCGCGCACGTCCTCACCTATAACGAATTCAAAGCTCTCGGTGAGCATCTTAACTGAACACGTGTTTTTACACCTTAAATCGAAACTATTTTGTTGGAGATGATAGTTGATTCACACTAACATTTAATTTCTTTTTTGCAGATGACGAACGTCGTCCGGTTCCTGGTGGACCAATACCATGATCTGATGGACAACAAGAGCGGTAAGATATTTACTTATTGGTTTGTTCTTACAGGTGGTTCGAGATTTAGAAATTTGCAAAATTCTGTTTGCTCAACCAATTCGAGTTAGCAGAAGATGCTATTATGTAGTAATATTGGCATACGTCGTGAGATCTCTGGCAACGATTGATGATTATATGAGTTTTGCGTAAAATTTAATGGAAAACCTCAGAGCCACCCAAATTGTCGAATATCAGAGGTTGCCTTGACGATTATTGATTTAATTGCTACGACTGCGACGTGGAATGCGCAAAATGCAAAATTAATGCCCATACGCGATGAGCCAAGCATACATGAAGTGCGCTATGCTACAAATTACCGATCGTGCGGGGAATGCGTGAAACGGATGCCGGTTCATTGGCGATTCCGAAGGAATCTGCTGAAAATGAGGATCGCCCACGACGACCGAACGCACTTCCAATGATAATTGTAGCCTGGGGCAACGACGGCGACGATGAGACAAGCACAAACCGTAACCAGATAAAACGTAACCCGTGCCAAACGCATGTGTTGGGTAACCATGGTGATTGCGCAACAAGACGACAGCATCCCGTTCTGCGATGGTGTGATTCTCCCATCGCACGACGGGATGGTGCAAGAGATGTGCGAAGAAGCGCTCGCTTCTTTCTTTCCACATTGCACTCGAGACTGGTATACCTACATGCAAATTGACATTGATTTCGGGATCGCAATCATTATATGGTTTTGTGCAAGAGAGAAATTGAGGTGAATGTTATTATTGCTGCATGACATTTGGCGTGAATTATGTGTTGTACTATGCACAAGCTAATTCACAACCTTTCCAACGGAACGTTACCAAAATCACAGGCATTAATGTTCGTTTCCAGCAAACTCGTTTGAGCAACATGACTTTTAGGTTAATGCATATTTCTTTTAAATGGTGAATTACTATGCAAAAAAACGCCTTTCAAACTTCATCAGTAACGCGTTATAGCTTCATGAAGATATTTGAATTTAAGGGTCCCAAGAAAATTTTAAGATGAGGCCACCAGTTGAATTCATATATTGGTTCAGCTTGGATATAGATGTTAATAGATACCACTTCACTGTGAATAATGTCAATCAAAATTGTTTATTATTCCGCAAATAGAAGCTTAATCATAATTCGAAATGTATATTGTGATGTGATTATACCGGAAAGAACCATGGAAATTAATTGAGACGACCTTACTAAGCGAAAAAGGTCGTAACTCGCGACCTTCACAGCCTCTTCAATTCGGCAATTAGACTTTAAATGCAAGATAATTCATAAATGCGTAGTACTGTTCTTTTATATGATGTTTGCTAATGGCATGAATTAAATTTTAGATCCCAGGGTGAACAACTGGCTGTTGATGAGCTCGCCCTTCCCGACGCTCGCGATATGCCTTTCATATGCGTACATCGTGAAGCGCTTGGGGCCACGGCTCATGGAAAACCGAAAACCTTTCGAGTTGAAGAAGACCCTCATCGTTTACAACCTGTTCCAGGTGGTCTTCAGCACTTGGCTTTTCTATCTGGTGAGTAATTCGTTGTTTTGTTCGCAGAATATTTGTTAATCAATAAATTTTCAGAGCTGCGTGTCTGGCTGGTTAACGCACTACAGCTACAGATGCCAACCAGTCGATTATTCAACATCACCTTTGGCAATGCAGGTGAGTAATACAAGCATCGGTATTCGGCCCGGACTTCGAACGTGCGAAAAGAGTTCAATGTCGCCTTGGCCAAATCTCGATAATTGACTCGCCCGTTTTACAGATATACTAATCTATGTTTTTTTCTCTCTTTCATTCTTCTCACCTCGTTAACCCAGATGGCGAATGGATGTTGGTGGTATTACATCTCTAAATTCACAGAGTTTCTAGATACGGTGAGCTAGCTATTAATGCTTCATAAACTAATATTAATGTTATTTTTGTTGGAATAGTTTTTCTTCGTTTTGAGGAAAAAGAATAAAAACATTTCGACCCTGCACGTTATCCATCACGGGGTGATGCCTATGTCCGTCTGGTTCGGTGTAAAGTTCACCCCCGGCGGTCATTCATCATTCTTCGGATTCTTGAACACATTCGTGCACATCATCATGTACTCGTATTACCTGATCGCTGCCCTTGGACCGCAGTATCAGAAGTACCTCTGGTGGAAGAAGTACCTGACCACCATCCAAATGATCCAGTTCGTAGCTGTCATGGTACACGCCTTCCAGCTGCTCTTCATCGACTGCAGCTACCCGAAGGCCTTCGTCTGGTGGATCGGCATGCATTCAGTCATGTTCTACTTCCTCTTCAGCAACTTCTACAAAGAGACCTACGTCAAGCAAAAGAAAGCAGATGCTCTGAATAAGGTAAATATCAGCATTTATTTTTTAACAAACAACACTTAACACTTATCTTTCCAGCAAAACGGAGTGAAGAAAGGCGTTGGTATTTGCTTCCCATTGCAGACCGATCTATACGAGAAGGCAGAAAGCAACGACACCATCGCCAAGAGCTACACGTCATCCAACAACGACCTCAGAAACCGAGCATTCATAGACAAGAAATGATGACGCGACATTTTCGCTCCACAAGAACGTCTCTTTAAATTGCCAATTTTATTATTAATAATGTTAATGTTAATTATTAGAATACATAATTATTTTTGTATAAACTTAAAATTTCCTGTGATTTTAAATTAATCGAGAAAAACGCGATATACAGAGAAAAAAATACACACTTCTATATTTATAAATATACATAATTTAAATATTTAAAGACAACATATTATGTACAGTACAACAGATTTAAGATTCAAAATCTGTATTATATATATATTTTTTATACTACTAGTAGAATTGTTGTTATTGTTGTTTTTATATATTTCAAGCATTGCAACGTTTAATTATATATTTTTCTTCTTTTGCAATAATATTGTATGATTGTAATCATTTGAATTCTACTACAATATTTGTACGCATATAGAAATAATCATACAAAGTGCATGTTTATATGATGCTTATTGAATAAATGTTTATTAGGTAACACTTTGTTTTACTTGTATCTGCAAATAAAGCCTGTTGATAAAATTCTCGACTTCTTTTGATGTATGTTTAGTTGTATAACTCCATACTCATTCGAAATCCCGTCAATCAAATTCCCGAGTGTATCAAAATCCCGATAACCATCATCTCGACAGTATCAAAATCTCGACTGTATCAAAATCCCGACATTATCTTTTGTTATTAAAATTTCAACAATAACATGTTTAAATTATCCCGGAGCATAGTCACCATCTAGAACATTTTTATAACTAGACAATAAAATAATATGTTTATTAAAAAAGTAAACAAAACTCTTTAAAAATGAGAGTTTATTGTGTCTAAGCATTATTATAATTGTTATTGTTAATAGAGAAAAAAAATGGTTGTTGGGATTTTGATTGACACCGCTTTCCATACATATTCTATCTTTAATAATAATGTTCAATAGTCGCCTGTATCACGAAAATTCAATACGAGTTGTTTCGATCCTAAAAACGAAAGGGCTAGAAATAATAATTGATATAAATCTCTTTCTTAAAAAAATGTTCTACTGTGACTGGTGTATGGCGTCGACAAGACGCAGCTTAGCGTAGACAAGCTCTCACAGATAGGAGCTATTTATTTTATTTTAAAATAAATACTAAAGATTCTAGATTTAGTCCATACAATCCTAAAAATAAACATTAATTAATAGTGAATTAATAAAAAAACTTAAGCATAAATTTCTGATGAAAAATTTAGCGGTGCAAGTTTGTATTCTTCTTCGGCTTATGCTTACGTGCATATAATTTTTTGTTGCAATAGATCTCCCTCATTAACAAACTCTCTTTCATGCTTTAATATAATATTGATGCCACGTATGTATTCCCAAAATAACTTATGAATAATTAATTCTAATAAATTTTCTATAAATTTCGAACGTCGGGATTTCGATAGACGGGATTTCGGTTGTCGATCTTGCGATTGCCACCGGATTAAAACATTGTGATGGAAAATAATGTATTTTTTTTTAATAATATACTATGCAAATTTAACGTAGTACTGAAATTTCGTAGTACAGGTGGCTGTTTAGTTAGTTCGTTATCCTGATTTATAAATTTCATTCCATTGACAGCTTCTTTGGCTTCGTGCCATTGTTGCAAATTTTTCGATTTCATAGTAACTGCTTTCAATATATTATACTTATCTTTAAATTTTAATAAACCTAGATTCTAACTGTCAAACAATTCATTTAAAAAGCCACATAACACAGATGTACCAATTGAATTTGCCAAGGCCTCTGCAAAACCAGTGGCTCATGAAGGATTCATAAGTCTGGAAAACTTCGGTCTAAAATTATGCAGCTTTCACGATTCATTATTTCATTATATCGTATACTACCATCTCTACATCAAACGTACTTTAATGAATGTAACCAAAGTTACATGGAGGTTTTAATATAGTATAAACTTCTTTATTGAACTAAACTAAAATACCTAGTGCATCCACCCAAAATATTATAAATTCAGTCAATTCCGCTTAATTCCGTTCTTTACGATTTGTCCCTAATAAGCGGCTGCTCCGATGAACCGGTGTCCCAATTAAACGGAATTGGCTGTTTATCGGTTCGGATCAAAATCCCGACACTTTATTTTCATATTTAGACATAAAACAAATTAATTTACAAATGAGCGTTATTATTTACTACGTGATTAAAAAATGAATATCGATATTCTATTCATCAGAGTAAATCCTGTGTTTTATCGAAACCGTGTTTTGTACTTACGCAAAATTAAAACAACCGAGTTAATTAACCATTAGACTCATGAACATTTGCAAAAATGAATATTTGTGAAATTATTTCTTCACAAAAACATTCGGGGAATTTGATATTGTCGGGATTTCGATAAAGACCCAAATTTAGAGGTTTTTAGTCTCCGAACAGACAGCATAATATTTGAATTATTTCTTTACTTAAGCGCATATTTTGCATAATTGCAGTCATGCTTTGTTTACATTCCAGTCCTCTCACATACGTAAATTGATGGTTCAAGGATTCAAAAAATATGCGAATTGTCTTACGTACCTTATATATTTGGAGACCAAAAATTGGGTCTCGTATTTTTTTAACAGGTCGCAAAATAACAGCTGTCACGTTATGTCAAAGCAAAGAAGTGATGAAATACTCTTAACAATTGGGTCGTAGGTAAACTATAAACAAATATGTTGGTACGCACAGTAAAAACGTTTGTTAAAATAACTTATTTAATATGTTTACGTGAATTTGAACCCTAGGAGTTATATGAGATCTTGGCGTACTGATCGGATCAGATAAAAACTTTGATTATAGCTCAATTAACAATATCATTCGTATAATATCAATCTCGGATATTTGTTCTTCTGTGTTATTTGCATAATTATATGATTTATAACAAATGTATAAAGGATATAACTGTCACTGCTGATATATAAATTATTTTCGCAGTTTCTCTCAGTCAATTAAATTATAATGTGAACATTTTAATAATTGAAGCATTTAAATTAAAAAATATGACGAATGTGAATATTAATTGCAAATAATGGTTAGTAATTTGTTATTTCTTTAATATTTCAAAAAAATACGTATCTACAGTTTTTTCATAATTTAATTCTAAAATCATTTAAAAAAAAACTGAAGATTTTTTACGGACGTGCACCATCTTCAAAGCACATGCGGTCGATTTCTAATCGAAACTGAAAACGTAGTAAGCGTACGTGAATGCATTCGAAAAAAAATGTAAAAAAAACTTTCCAATCGAAAATTTTAATTATTCTCATTCGCCCTATGTGTGTAGAGATGTAATGAATAGGTTTCATTAAGCTGTGTCGTCAATGATTTCTGTTTAGACGTGAATTTACGCATTTTCGAGTGTCCAAAGATCGAGAAGCAAATACACAAAGATGTTATTTAACGTCACTGAGAATTCCACATCTCAGGACGACCTTCGTGTCTTACGTAAGCGAAAAAATATGAAGAAGAAAAAAAAACCTGAGGGGAAACAAGGAGTTCGGCTGGACGTGAAAGCGACCAACGAAATTAATCAAAATCGGAGCGCGATTCTTTCGAGAGTGAAAGCCGGATGATGCGATTCAAACGTAGAATTAGAGCTCAAACAATTGCATTTCTTCCCTGCAGTCTGTCGTTTTTTTTTCTCTCTGTTACACTATTCGTTATCTAACGCCGTTGTGCTTCAGTTGTTTCTCTTACGTAACTCAAATTAATCGATAAAAAAAAATGTTTTTTTTTCTAATAAAAAACAATTGCACGCAACATTGAAATTATTAATGAAATTATTTATATGCACTTTACAAGTTGTACTTGGACAATTGATTTCCGTTGAAACAATTGTATTATATTAATAAACATTAATTAATGTATTTTTCTAGCGGCGTGTGCGTATTGCTTTGTTATTGAAAATATTTCTAAACGGCATAAATGATTCAATTTTTACAGTAGCATAGTTTTGCAAAATACAGGGTTAAGGTTAATCGACTAAAAATATGCGTTATGAACATGCATTTCAATTGTATCTAGATCAGCGTTTTCTATCGGAATTATGTATTAAAATTCCGACTATATCAAAGTCGCGACTGTATCAAAATCCCGACAATCCTCAGTTTGTGGTGTCCACTAATTACTATTATAATTGTTATTGTTAATAGAATTTTCTCTATTAACAATAACAATTATGTTTTTATAAAGTCTCTTAGTCTATACGCCATGCGTGAATTTGTCTTTGTATGCGGGGTTTTTTTGTTAATAAAAATTCCTGTTTTGTTTCCTTTTCTGAATAATAATATTCGTATTATTATTCAATTTAAAAATTTTATTATAGAATTTTTATAAAGTCAGGATTTCGGTTGTCGAGATTGAACCGGTTTTTTTTACATGTGTGGCCTATCCTAGCACAGTATTTTTTTTTTATTGGACCATCAAACTTTTAGGGGTGGCTCTAGACTTTAGAGCAGTGTTTCTAAAACTTTTGACATCTGTGTACACCTTCAATTATTATCGTAAGACTGAGTACCCCAATGACATATACTTCAACAACAATCAAAATATATTTTTTTCCCTGTTTTAGTACATAAATAAAATAATAATAAATAGAAAATACTATAAAATTAATAAAAGTTTTATTATAAATAACATTTATTATAATCAATGAGAAGGATGAAATTATTTATGTCGAGACGACAGATAATTGTTACTTTTAATCTGAGATGAGGTTCCACATTCAAAAGCCTGTTTCTTTTTTTTTGTAGACAAATGCTAAAAAAAAGCAGCTTCACATAGAGTTGTAAAAGGCAACATATCTTTCAGGACTTTCTATGTTAAAACAGGATACACATGTTGCATTTGAAATATGTTTGATATTACTGAAACAAATTCCAACAATTGCTCTTCATATCTTACCTATTCAATATTTTTGTTTAAATTAGGAAAATAGTTTTTCAGGCCCATTTGTAAGTTTTCTAAATGCTGTGTTATACATTTCAGAGTATCAGCATCAAGTTGTTATAAACTTATGAAGATAAATTTTAATGTTAGGGATGAAAAGTATATTTAGTCAGAATTATCAAAAGCATCGCGGTCAAAAACTAAAAAAAAATAAACTAACATACGATAAATATTTTTAGACAAATGCCCCAAATAATGTTAATCGAGTGCCCGAAACGGTGTCGAGAGCCACCAAAAAGCCCCTGTATGGGCAGCCGACAAACGAATTTTAAAAACTGATATTTCTGATATAAAGGGACTTATTTTCGTTTATTAAGAAATTTGTTTATGTCATATTTTAAAATATTAATAGTAGATCGTGATTTCAAACTTGTATTAATTGGTTAGAGCCCTAGTCCCGAAACTGTTTTAGTCTAGGGCTCCCAAACAATACTAGTCGAGGTCTTGCAAACAGCGTTAGGACTGGTCCGCTCCTATATAAGTTTCCATATTAATAATAAATGAAACAAGTTTTGTCGGCAATTTTCTCGTTTCGTTGAATTAGCCTCTACTCTGATACTTTTTTATTCTAATTACTATGCGTTTGGTTGAAACGTCAATGTAATTAAAATAGTTTAAAGTCTATTCCGAATATCCGCTACTTTTAGACAATGTGTTTTTGCCAGTGTTTTTCAAATTTTTGGATCACGGACCACTTTTGCACTTACACATTTTAAAGGACCCCCGAAGAATGGATATGTATAGAAAAATATCCCGTTGTCGTCAATTTTTCTGCGACCCCCCAAATATTTTTCGTGACCCCCCACTTTGAGAATCACTGGTTTATGCGATGAAAACTTTTGCCAAAACTCCAGAAAAGCTTATACAATATTTTTAAAATGATAATTATTGATGAGTCGTTTATAATTATTCATGCAGCGTGCTGGTTAATTATGTAAAATTAAATCTGCATTCCTGTTTTCTTTCCGTTTGTTTGGTTAATAAGTTTGCAGTTCAAAGTTGCAATGATTTTCCGAAGTTTGTAATTATACAAATGTTTTAATTAAAATATTATTATTTTAGTTGTAATTTGCTTAAAAATTAGCGAAAGTCACTTTTGTTTTCTCTTTGTTGCTTTTTTATTGAGCGTATATATAATGTAATTAAGTGTGTTTCTTTCTTTTTTTTAGGTGGCTAATTTTCATTGATCGCAGAGCCGAGGTAAATGTGACCCAGTTTCGGGGTTGAAGAGATATGGGGCGAGGATGGATGTGGTTGGGAAATAGCGAAGAAGTGGCGGCCTGTAGTGGTAGTAGTCCTGAGATCATCGTCGCGTTAGAAGTTAGTGTACCAACTCAACAACAGGTAGGTAGGAAGGAAAAAAAAAAGGTGTGCATGGGATTAGCAAACGGTGAACCTCTTCTGCGCCGAATCCATTGGCAGGTCGTACGAGTCGCGAGCTTCCGCCGTCGGCCCGAAACTCTATATATAAACCGGCTGGAAAGGCGAAGCCAACCTAACCCAAAACTATATACTAAAACAGAGTCCTCCGAAGTGGCCGAGTACGAACGGTGGTGCTGCATAAAAGTCGACGGCTCGATACTTTGCTGGATGAGAGACACGCCTTTCGAGCGGCCACCGAAAACCAACAGCTCGAATACTCCGGGCCCAAGGATCGACATAGGAAACATGCGGTTGTGCTTATTGACCAAGTGAACTACCACTACCTGCATACAATATATATACACCGTCAGCACCAGCTCTCCCGACTAACCGAAAACATCTGCATCGGCGAGTGCCAAGGAACAACCGCGAAGGGCGAGTCCAATAAGACCATCCAATCCTAACAATCCTTCACCTTCTTTCAATGCATTAAAAAAGAGCAAAGACACATAAAGATTCCGAATCTAATTTTAAAGTAGTCTCCGTGTCCGATCGCGAATCCAATCTATTTCTTTCTCTCTAATTCTATACGCTGCATTTGCCGCTTCCTCCTTTTCCCGTTATCCCTCTATACAAAATTTAAAAAAACCCGTATAGTGGGACCTTCTTTTTGTCTGTTAAATCCAGCAAAGAAACTTTGGTGAGTAGAACTTTATTGATTATTACATTACAAACGCGCGCCCCTCGTGACTCGGCCATCCGCGACCTCATTCACTACAAAAATATACACACGCATGAATCGGTACATACTTCTTTTTTTTTAAGTCCTGCCACCAAAACATGTACATCATCATCTAATCACATACAAACCGGAAACGGAAGTCTGTGAACCGTTCGTCGAGTATCAGCGGTTCAATTCACAAATTCACCAATGTTGTTATTATGCAATTGCTTCGATCAACAACACTTCAAAAAAATACCTGTTGGAAATGCATATATAATTAATCATTTGAATTAGACATATGACTTGCATTAATAAAAAAATAATGTTCAATGCAAGTTCCAATTTGAAACAATGTCATTTATTCTAATAGTTTTCGATTTCTTTCCATATTGTACAATAACATTTGGATATTTAATCGAATTAACCAAAATATGTTTAGAAATTTCATATTGTACAAATATTTAAATAATCAATCAAAGTCAAAATAAATTTGACATTTCATAAAAGAACATCATAATTTAAATTGAAGTTGTTTTTGTTTCTACGTTTTAACGTTCAAATAGTCAAGTAGTTTAATTTACGTTGAAGTTGTTTCTATAATTATTTAGAACTAAACATGATTTATATATTTATGATTAATGCTTTTGCATTACTAATATTGTCATAATTAAAATTTATGTTAAATAAGGCAAAAGCAAAAACATTTTATTATATAAGGTGTAGCATATCTATAATCTCTTTTGTCGCTCTTGTATCGTGTCTAACTGTCCGGTAGGTTCTCTGCATTGTTTCTTGTGTATTGTCCTTCTGTATTGGCTCTTGTGTCTCGTACTCGTTATACTATAAGTATACTATATGTATTCTGTGTTTCTCTTTTTGTGTTATTAACTATCTGTGATGTCCTCAAATAAACATATGTGTGAATACCGCCATTGTGGAACTAGATTTTGCTACCCTTTGAAGATTCATCTACGATCTATATAATCGAGCATCTCCAAAGCATTTTAAAAGGAAACTCGTTTCACTTTTAAATAATAAACAAAATTTATTGTATAATAACATATTATCTTTCTAAATTTTATCTAAATTATCTTTCGTTTAAAATTAAAAAAATATTTATAGTTTGAAGTATATTTTAATTTAACTTAAATTTGTGTCTATATTATAGAACTAAGTGAAATAACAAATTCACTTCGTCGTTTACCCGTGTAATTAATTACTAGATAATTAACGATGATTAACTAATATAGACCTCGTTCATTAATTTAAGTTTATTTGATTATACGTTAAACTGTATAAATTCCAATTTGAACATCATTTAGGGTTAATATGTGATGTTCGTACAATTGAAGCAATTGTGTACAGAAGGTGTCGACTGTAACGAGCCTAAATAAGTGGGCATAAGATAAACAAAATATTTGGTGAATCACGCTTTATTTTGTACATTTTTTTTATGTAATGTAATTTGTGGATGGTCTGACTCGATATCTTAATTCACCGTAAATTCCGATTCCTTATCATCTCGGAATTTGTGTATTTGCCGCGATGACTAATAATAGATTCGACAACGTTGCCAATAACTGATATATAACTATTTTTGTATATTGTTATTAATATCCGCATTGTTTTATCCATTTACACTAAATTAATAAAAAAAAACATGTTTAAAATGTAACACAATGTTTTCCTTAAGCGGAATGTTAATTTCGCTTTTATTATAATTAAATTAAAGTGTTTATCCGTTTACGTAACGCTAAATTGCAAATTTAATGTAGTCGTTTACAAAATATGACACTTTTTCTTACATTTTATTTAATGTTTACGTGAATTCGTAAAATTAATGTAAATGAGATTCTAACGTATACATTATATTTTTGTTAATAGCAGGGGAATCAATCAGGAAAGTTAAGAACGTTCAAGGTGTCTCCAAAATTAATTAATTACTTCAAGTCAAGTCAATTACTACTACTTGATTTCATTTCATTTAATCGTGAATTCAATAAATTTTCGTTTCGAGTATAAAATGAAATTTATTATTTTCCAAACACAATGCTTGCTTTTGTCCTGCTTTTCATTTTACAACAAATAGAGAATAATGGGTTTTCGTTATCGAATCGGGGGCTTTTCCGTGCTATTGTTTTCAGTTCTTGTGAGAAGTCGACAAATTATCAATAATAACCTGTCAATACCGATCATTGACACTTCATGCACCTTTGATTGTCATCATGAAGTCAATCAACTATGATAATATGTAATATTTGGATTGTTTTATTGATGTTTACTACGCATTAGAAACAAAAAATAACATTGTTTTTCTTTTAATTGTGTTAAATCTAAAATAAAACGTTGTCATTGATTTGTTTTCTTGGAACGTTTAAATAATGGACAAAAACAACTTATTTTGACATATTGGTTTTATTTATTAGAATTGTCTATTTGAAGTTTATTTATATACAATTTTAATTAATTTATTGATATTTAATATTGTAATTAATGTTGTACATTTGCAGAAGTCATTACGTATTGATTAATCAGCATTGCGTTTTGTATGGAATCGATCCTGTTTTTCTTCTATCACGCAATTGACAAATTGGTCTTGTTAATTTAAAAAGTGTATATGTGATGCAAATAGATCAATATTATCTTCACATCGCACTTTGGTATTCCGGTCTAAAGTCTAACCGGTTACTGCATACGTCCGCATAGATCAAATTGCGTGCAAAATAAAAGATTTTTCCGTAATTATGATAATCACCGATCGATGTCAATACAAAAAAATAAATTAATTAAAAGCGTCGTGTTGTCTTCATTTGGAATGTGAGTCGCGTCCAGGACGAAAGACGCATAGGAAGTCTCCTAGCTCGTAATAAATATGTGCGCCACGTGAACGCAATTCCGTTTCCATAGTCACCCGGGAAGGCGGGAAACACATTTCACCAGCAACTGTTAACTGCTTCTTCTTATTCTTCCTCGAGTGACCTAACTGTTCACGCCTGGCCGGGGATTTCCTGGCGAAGAAATTCATTACGAAAAAAGTTATTTTCTCTTTTCTCACAACATCAATTCATATTTTTTTTTTGACTCACTCTCTTTTATTTTGCAGTCTTTCGCCAAACCGACAGAAAAAAAATAGAATAGACGCAGTGTAAATAATAATGTCTAATGGACGAATTTACTTCACTTTCTAATGGTTTCATAATTGGCGAAAGAATTGTTTTGTCCGCGCAATTGTTTAATGATGACGGATTATCAAACTACAGGAAATAAATGTTATTTGATGATTTTCCATAAATTTAATAGTTGAATATTGCATAAAGTTAAACTATTAGCATACTTGCTCGTCACTTTGCAGCAGAAAATAATGCTTCTTGCATTAACTTGATTTGTTTTTATTTAATTTTCATTTGTCCATTGTTTGTTTAATGACGTTTCGTTTCTGTATATTTATTTTGTTTATTTTTTCATTTCCGTTGCATAACAACGAGTTAGTGACGACATGTGCAAAACAAAAGAAACCCACTTTCTGTCAATCCGATTCGATTGAATTGCAACTATATTTTTATTTTATTTTTTTACAATTTTACAGTCAGCGTTCGCTTAACGAACGCGATAATACTTATATAATTATTTATCAAACCTCATTTATCAATATACAGATATCCGTTCGAACGTACAACATTAATCGGATATGTAAAACAAAATAAATCCATTTTCTGTCAATCCTATTCAATTCAATATTTACTTTAAATTTCTTTTTTATAATTTAAATTTTACAATCGGCGTTCGTTTAACGTACGTGATAATAATTATATAATTATTTATCAAACCAACATACAAATATATGTATGAACGTACAACGTTAATGAAAGCATATCTGTATAAACTTCAGGTTGACTTCAGTTTATATCGGATTGATTTATCTAAAACTCGTTTTAGGAAATAATAAATAACATCATGACTGAAATATGAATATGAAGCATAAGTGTACGTAAGAACAAATATCGTTACGTTCGTGTGAAGGTATTTACAAAAAAAAATGTAAAATAAGTGAAGCATTTATCTGATTAACGTACTGTATGTTACGTACGTTAATCGTTTATAAAAAACTAGTGTTTGGTTTTTGTTTTCCAATCGAAGAAGTGTTCGCACGCATTGTCCATACTATGAACTAGAAAGAGTCGCGAAGGAGGAAGGATCGGGAATCCAGGTCATCCGTGCAATTCATTTAAAAATATTATTACACATTTTATTCAACACGCTTCGCTATCCTCTTCCTCCGTTTGCTTTCCCTCCCGTTTGAATAAGAAAACTACGCGAAGGAATAGAATAAAATAACAACCTAATAGTTGATTACCGTTTGTAATTATTTAGATTTAATATATATTCACAGCGGTTATTTATAAAACAAGGTTGGCAATTCGTTCAAATTAATTCCAGCCCCAATTAGTGCCGCCAATCTCCAGGAGGAGGCGATCCAGTTCCATTTAATTAAGTACTAACCATTTATATTATGATTAACAATGGTTGGTTTTTGTAACTACGTGATCAATTCCTTTAGTTTTTTTTTGGTTTTGCTGGATTTACGTCAATACAATTGGAATGTTGTGGAATTTCGGTATATGGAAAATTAATTTAAATAGTTGGTCACAAGAAAGTGCCGCTGGTACGTGAGACTATGACGCGCATTGTCAATGATAATGATGGATTTTGTTTCCGATCGGGGTCATCGAAATGAAATTTAGAATAATATTCGGAGATATGCTAATACCCAGCACAATCCAATACTTCCTCTTTGAATTACAATTTCTGAATTTAATAAATAAACTTGTTTTTATTTTCTTTCACTATTAAGTTAAAAAAGACAAAGTTCAGCCTATTAAATATTTAAATCCACGATTTTCGTGTAAATTTTAATCCGTTATTTTTCTTTTCAATTGTTTATTTTCATGAGAAACAATGAGCATGTAGATCAAGGTGAACTTTACTATAAAGTGCACACGTGTGTGTTTATGTGATCAACATTACTATTATTTAGTTTTTTTTAGTTTTCATCATTACATTTAGATTGAGGAGATGGGATTTTTTATGCGGCGATGGACGCAGGACGACCTCTTAATTTATTTCTTGGCCTTGCCAGACCCGTCCTCTTCTCTCGCAGCGCACTTGCCTTATTGAGAGCAATAAAGATACCAATTGCCATTGACATGGATACTGAATACTGTAGTATCCTTCGAAAGTGATTCATATTGTATAACCGCAGAGAAATTCGTTTATCTCCCTTGCATAATAATGAAACAACTGAAATTACTCATTCACTTATACTCTAATATTCCATAATTTATATATCTTTTGCATCAATTATAATTTTACTCTTTTTTTGTTGCAGATACAAAGATGGCGCACCTAGTCACAGAGATCATCGACAAGTACCATGACATCCTAGACAACAAAAGTGGTGAGTTTTCGGTCTGCTTCACGGTGTTGTTGTTCGTCCCCATTTAGAAATTATCCTTGACACCGAGACTATTTATTTGTACGTTCGACTTTCTTCTTTTCGCCGGTTGCGCAAACAGGGAAAATGAAAGAAAACGACGTGCCCGTCGACCGTTGCGACATCCACGTGCGTTTGCAAAACACGAAGACTCCTCGCAACTTAACAATAAAGAAAAGAGAAGTACAAAAACAAACGAATAAAAAGACAAATATTCGATTGCACACAGCAAACTACAGCACCGAGGAACCTCAAAGAGATATATCATCATGTAACGAAAATAACTGATTATCGAGTTGTCGCAATAATTTAGTCGAAAAATAAGTATAGGTGTTAAAATAAACTTAATGTGTACACAAGCAAGTCATAAAAAAAATTATGGTTTTATTTATTAACTTTTAAATTAAACAAATTAATATGTATTAACACTTCAGTCGAAATAAATTTTATAAATTTACAATATTTTATGAATTTTCAAATTATGTATGACATATCTAGTTTCTGCACAATTACGGTATTCACGCAATTATTATCTTATTTATTGAATTTACTGACAAATTTTATCCATCTAATGTTCAATTTTGTTTGCATAAATCAAGAGAATTATATCTTGTAACTCGATAACTGAAAACTGTATTTGTATCTATGGTTACTTGTTGATTAACCAAATATATTGTGTATGGAATTATAAATAATACTGGACTATTTATTTATGATTAGATAACATTTTTGATTGAAGATAGTATTGATTAATATGAAAACATTATTACGTAGTCAAAAATGCAGCTGATTAAAAAAAAAACGTTTATCAATCTTGTTGTTGTTGTTTTTTTATAACATTATGTTGGAAATAAAGATTCGTTTGAGAGAAAGTGAAAGGTGGTGCATTCAATTTTTTGTTTGTTTGTTTTCTCCTGTAATTATAAGTTGAATTGTTTTAGATCCGAGGGTGAGCGATTGGCCGATGATGTCCAGTCCGATCCCGACGTTGGCGATTTGCATGTTCTACGCCTATTTTTCCAAAGTGCTGGGACCAAAGATTATGGAAAATCGGAAACCGCTCAACCTGAGGAACGTCCTGATCGTCTACAACTGCGTCCAGACCATATTCAGCGCTTGGATATTCTACGAGGTATATATCATCATGCGAAGAGTCTAATTAGGATATGGCGACTCTCGACTAATTTGCATAGCTCATAATTCGCGACGCGTTCCGTCTGCAGGCAAATTGCGCGCAAATCCGTCGAGCGATTAACATTATCCGATTTCATCCGTAACTTACGTAACGACGTTGCCCATAGCCATAATGGACATTCGTTGTTAGCAAGGATTTTTTCGCAAATAATGTCTATCTACTAATTATTTTGAAATGATACGACTTTGCCCATGGCCATAATGGACATTCGCTGTTAGCAAGGATGTTTTCGGAAAAACAATGACTATCTTTTCTTTAATATGCAATGATATGGGCAACTTACGTAACGATGTTGCCCATTGCCATAATGGACGTTTGTTGTTAGCTAGGATATTTGCGCAAAAACAATGTCTATCTCTTATTTAATATGAAATGATCTCATATTTGAGGAGACAATATTGCTACAATACTTACATTAAGGAGGACTCTAATTGTCTGGCGGAGGTGCGCGAAATTTAACACACTCCGTGACGCATTGAAATGCCGAATATATTATTTTCAGTCAATGTTATATGCTTGAATATGTTTTAACATTTTATGCTTATTTTCAGTACTTGATGAGCGGATGGTGGGGCAGCTACAGTTTCAGATGCCAACCTGTGGATTACTCAACAAGTGATATGGCCATGAGGGTGCGTTTCTGCAGCACGAAGATATGTTACGAAATTCACATATTTTCTTATACCACTTTCAGATGGCGAATACGTGCTGGTGGTACTACTTCTCCAAATTCACCGAGTTCTTCGACACGCTCTTCTTCATCCTGCGGAAGAAGACCAGCCACGTGTCCACTCTGCACGTCATCCATCACGGCTGCATGCCGTTCTCCGTCTGGATGGGAATGAAGTTCGCACCAGGTAACGTTTATTTCATTTTCTATTTTGTTCGGTACTTACAAGGAATCTTGTTTCTCAGGTGGTCACAGCACGTTCTTCGCATTGCTCAACACCTTTGTGCACATCGTCATGTACTTCTACTATATGATAGCCGCGATGGGTCCGAAGTACCAGAAGTTCATCTGGTGGAAGAGGTACCTGACCACCTTCCAAATGGTAATCTCCAATCATACAATGTTATTGGATAATCTTTATATTTGAATTTGCAATGCTCAGGTTCAATTCGTTGCAATCTTCACGCATCAATTCCAATTGCTCTTCACCGAGTGCAATTACCCGAAGATCATCATGGTATGGATCGCGCTTCACGGCGTGATGTTCCTCTTCCTCTTCTCCGACTTCTACAAGGTCAAGTACAGGAAGGAGAAGCCCGACAAGAATTCCGGCGCATGCATGGTGAGTGAGCGCTTCCCATCGCCAATTAAGTTAAACTCGTATCATTTGAACTGATTATTAAATAACCGTCCATTCACAGCCGGTGCTGGACGACGAGAAGCAGTCGAAGAACGGCAAGCACGCGCGCAACGGCTCCTTGAGCAGCTCCTACGTGCAGACAGAATTCTCCAAAGCCTATCAACCGTGCTATTCCAACGGCGTGAACAACGGCTTCGTCAGTCAAGAGGTAAAGCACCGCAACGGCAGGAAGATCGAATGATGAGTTCCAGAAGAAAGAAGGAAAGAAATAAGGAAGAAAGATGAAGAAGAAGAAAAAAACTATTAATATTATGTTGTTGTTATTTTCGTTTTAGTTCTCTTTTTAAACTCTCTTTTTACTTTCTCGAACGGGATTACTACATGATCTTTTAAATTAATTTATATATTTAGGTAGAATTGGTGGAAGCATAGCGCAAATCCATTATTATTTTGTATTATTATTTGTTTTCATTCTTTCAATTAAATTGATAAAAGATGATTAAGAAAAAAAAAACACACACACAAAAAGCACACAGTCATATAAAACACACAAACGAGATAAAAAAAACAAAAAATTAAAATAACATCGAACAATCGGTAACAGCGGCAAAAACAAAATAAAGAAATCTCTCACTCAGGGGCCTGTAAATCTTTTTTTAAAGGTTTTTCTCTCTCTATCATAAGTAATTTATATATGTATATATATATATGCATACAAATACATAATTATATATATATTCATTTTCGCGCGAACAAATCATTTCTGTGAGTACAAGCTGAGCAATAATACAATAATTCTGTTTGATTCTCTTCTCCAAATCTCTCTTCCATCGAACACTCTATTTGTAGGTAGTCTTTTTTACTCTCTTTCTCTGTTTATTTTTTTATTGTCGATTCGAAAGAACCGTTCAGTTTCGTGTTTCGAGCCGTTAGTGCCTATCGTGAAGATGAAGAAAGAAGATGGAAACTTTATAGTGTTTATTTTTTCTTTCGGCAGCTTGATTTGAAAACTTAAAAAAATAACGAAAGCATTTATACACGAACACATTCACAACACAATCTTTGATAATATACATATTTATGTTTTGTTTTGAAACTACTGTACTTAATTTTGTTGTTTTTTTTTTGTATTGTTTATTTAATTATATTATATATATATTTACAGATATAAAAATTGAATTTGCATTGAGTTTATACTGTAATTTCGGAAAGAAGGATAGAAAAAAATGTTTTAAAACTTATTGGAAACAAACAAAAAAAAAACTGTTTTTAAAATACATTGTTTATATATATATAGTGAATTATATGAGGATAAAAAGAAACATTTTGTAAATACTTATTATTATTACTATTATTGATTTCATTAAATTGAGCGAAATATTAATTGATAATTTATATTATTACTATACAGATATATATATATATAAATTGTAAAGTATTTTTGTATATAAATCTCGGAGGAAATGAATCCAAAAATGAAATGCAAAATAGTTATTATTTTTACACCATTTGAATGACAATTCTCCCTGCTTTTGTTAATAATTTTTTAATATGATCAAAGTCGTTTTTGGTAATTTGACGTTGACGTTCCGGTATCAATTATTTATTTATGTCGTGATCAATCATAAAGTTGAGTGTGAAAATTCGCGATGGATTTCCTGGGCCAGTCGATTCCCCCGTTCTTCGAGCGCTACATAGGAAAGCCTGGTGAGAAAGCTTTTCTTTGGTAACTTTTTTCTTGGCTCTAAATGTTGTCTCTTTTGAGATGCGAGGGTTTCGCGATGGGTCCTGCTAAATTCGCCCGCCTACTTGGTGGGCATCGTCACAGGCTACTTCCTGACGCTGCTCACGTTGAACAGACTAATGAAGAACAGGAAGCCCTTCGACTTGCGTCTAGTGATCATCGTGTACAACGCGCTTCAGACGTGCTTTTCCGCGTACATCTGCAAGGAGGTCTTTATGAGTGCCTACCTAGCAGATTACAGCTTATCATGCACGCCAGTCGGCAAGGGTTCCGACGAGTTGGTCGATAGGGTAATACCAATTTTTAAAGATCAAATCTATACTATATAAATACTATATTCCTATAATTATAGATGGCGAACACGTTTTGGTATTTCTATCTATCCAAAGTATTCGATCTTTGCAACACCGTGAATATCCACGCATATAGTTAACGCACATTAGTAACCATATACCTTTACAGGTGTTCTTTGTACTAAGAAAAAGACAAAGGCAACTGAGTTTCCTGCATCTCTACCACCATTCAACGATGATATTCAACTGGTATATAGGATCATTGTATTCGCCAGGCGGACAAGGTAGCTCAAACATAATATTAATTATGCTTTGCAATATGTAATAATATATGTTTCAGCCTTCTTCAGCGTCTTCTGCAATGCCCTAGTGCACGTAATCATGTATCTTTACTATCTTCTTTCTGCGATGGGACCTCAAATGCAAAAGTACCTTTGGTGGAAACGCTACTTGACCCAAATACAATTGGTAAATTTATTTATTAAACAAGAATAATTCTACATTAATTTTTATTCTACATTAATTTTTAGATACAATTCTTTGTGGTAATATTGCATCTGATCGTTGGGATGTACAATAGATGCAAAGCACCATTCTGGTTGAACTGCTTTACCATTGGTTATCTTTTGACTATGGTGGCACTCTTTGCCAACTTCTACAAGGTGGCTTACAAGAGCAAAAGGGGCACTCTGAAGCGGAAACGACGCAAATCGAGAAGCTATGATTTCAAAGCCGGCGGTGATTTCAAATATGACTAAAGTTTTCAGCATTTGTATACCTCGTGTTGCGTTCGTACAATAAATTTGTCCAGTAATTCAAATATATATAATATTTTATTTATTATACTAACACAGCCAAACTTTGAAGATACAGTTTGGCCACTCATGATATAAGCAACGTCTGAATTTTTTTAAATATAAATTTGATATTGCCTATAACAATAGGCAACCAAAGTTACAAAACATTTGTTAAATTTTAAGAAATGTTTATTTTGTGTAAATAAATCGTATTGAAAATATTTATTCGGTTTTATGTTAGCAAATGAAAGTTATTTTCAAGTAAAATAAAGTAATTTTCCATATTTAAAAACTTAAGTACCATCTGTGTAGGAAGCTGGGAACTTATGAGGAAAACAAAAGAAATGGCTAAGCCGTTTTATAGTAGAGCAATCAAACTGGAAGATGTGTGATAAGCAATTGGAAGTAATTAAGAAGCAGTTCTTCTGCGGTGTTCCGGTAACTGAAATTGATTGGAAGGTGAGTGTGCCACATGTAGAGGTAGCATTTGTACGTTGACATTATATGTTATTTGTAATATGTTAAGGATTTCCTAGAACATTTATCGTGGGAGGACCAGGAACTGTTTATTCAGCAAACTGTCGACTCCTCTGATAACATATTACATCCGCTGAGGGTGAGTTATCAGAAGGCGTTTGTGAAATACGTTTTGGATAGGTTAGGGACATCGGAGGCGGTCCACGACGTCGTCTACAACGCTTTCGGCCGACTGGTGGCGACGCCAAATACCGGTGACTCCTTCAAGCATTACCGCGTTTCCGAACAATTGAATTTAATTTTAAAGGAGAACGCCAACTTTATTTCCGAGGGAACTACAGGTAAACAACATTCGTATGGATTAGCATTAAAAAACATTATTTTAGCGTTTTGACATTTTAGGACTTTGTACGTGGCAAGCGGGGATTGCACTAGCCGAGTGGTGTGTGCAAAACCAGGAGATTTTCAAGGGTAAAACGGTAATCGAACTGGGATCTGGGATAGGACTGACCTCGCTAACAGTTGCATCTTGCACAGAAGCTTCGAAAGTCGTAGCCACCGATTGCCATGAATCCGTGCTGGCTAATCTGAAGTACAACATCAAGTTAAACTTCGGGCCCGAGCAGTCGAGGATTACTGCGTTAGCGTTGCCCTGGGAAGCCGTCGAGGACGTTGAAGAGATTGGAGCGGATCTAATTTTGGCTGCCGATGTTGTCTACGATGACTCGCTCTTTGACCCGTTAATTAACGCGGTTAAACAGTTCTTGCGTCACAAACCGCAGACCAAGTGGATACTAGCCTGCACCGAGCGCAATTCGAATACACTCGGCTCGTTTCTTCGGTTATTAGGTTCGTAATGCAATTAAAGTGATAAACTTAAACTGAATCAATTGGGGATACTTTGTTGTAGGTGAAGCCGGTCTGGGTTTCGTTACTTTATCAACACCCGATCAGAAGCACTTCTTGTGGCCTGCAGATCCTCCTGTTCGATTGTACCAAATCTCCCTGTTGGATTGAGTGAGTTACTTTCCAAAAGATAGAAAATATAGATTAGTAAACAATTTGTATGTAGTTTCCTTCTTAGCATTCCCTCCATCATGCTTTTAGTAACTAATACTTGTATTAGTATGTTGTATTAGTTTGTTTTAGCTTTGGTGCTTAAAACGTTGATTCTTTCATTTTTCATATTGTAGGTAAATTATGTTTCAGGTTAGCTTAATCTTAACCTATTTTAGTTCCTTGTAATGTGTCAACAGTCTACTGGATCTCACATCAATTTTGTTATTGAATGTGCATAATTTTCAATACAAATTATGCTAGTTTTTATTATTGATTTTGTGCATTAGCAGTTTTTATTTCTATTTAATAGTTATTTGTACCAGACTGCTAGATATAAATTATTTAAGCACACTAAACATTTTAGAGCTTAAAACAAATATTATAATTGAAATGGACCGTTGCATGGCTCTAATTTAGCACAATCACCGAATTTCAACCACATAACCGGGGCCCTCAATTATATCTCTCAGGAATTACACGTAACTTCCTGCCTCGGAGACCGGAAACGCGCGGCCCGTGACCCCTCGTGACAGTTGTTGCACAGCTTTTTCGGCATTCCAATAGTATAATTCAATTGTTTATTGTTATCTCGTGGAAAAAGGTTTTTCTTTGCGGCGCGCGCGTTCAATTGGAGAGCTTTCTACTCCGTTTTGCGACGGCTTTCCCCATAAACAATAAAGAAACACGCGTTTGTTTGTTTTCTTTAATTTACAATTTATCTGCTTGTCTATTTTCACGCAGCGTTTTGTTCTTTTCTTCGTCCTTATTTTATTATGTTTTTTTGTTTTGTTCCCGCACGACAAGTAGTTTACTGGGGCACGCGCGCTTTTTCTTTGATATATTTTTTTGTTGCAAAAAGTGCCTTTGTCGCCATCAATGCATCGCTCATTCGAGAGATCACGTACATCTCGCCAATTAGTTATAGCCCAATAACAATTTTCTAAACCGCACACGTTTTTAAAGCAATTCAATTGATTTTCTTTTATCACCTCCTTGCAGATTTCCGCCAACTGCGAAGAGATTTACTCCGATCCAGGTAGGAATCAATCGTTTATGCTTCAATTCAAATTAATTCAAGAAAGTGCATGTACGTAAAGGTTTCTTTAGTTTCTATTGCAGTTGACATAGATTTGTCTATGCGCGATTAGGTAATAATCTGCAACAAAAACGGTAACAAAAGCAGTCGCGAACGAATAGAATATATTTGTATGATCTTTGTTTTCGTGATGAAAGTTTCTTGAACTTTAATCAAGCAACGTTAATTAGCGTGTGTGTATGTGTGTGGGGTGGGCATCTATCTGCCGAGTCGACGGGACTCTTTATCTGATTCATTCCTAGTAATGGATTCACAGTTTCTTTTCTCTTAAACCCCGCTCCTCAGGTCGTTGTTGTTTTGTTTCACGTATAAGTTTTCGGCGTTCCTACGGCGATTACGATCTGGGATTTTTTTTGTATTTGTTATTAATTGTAATTAAGCGCGAGTTCTTTTTTGTTTCGATATAATAAGCCGCTTCAATTTACATCCGAAACAACTTAAATGCGTTTACGTAAATACGATTCGGGATGATCACAGGCGGCCGAGAGCGTATTTCCTTCTCCGTTCATTCTTTCTTCTTTTCTGAGTATGTTTGGGCATGTGTAAATTGTTGGAGAGTAGAGTGTTGTCTCGGATCGTGACGACCCCAGCAGTATATTTAATAACAGTCGTTGGAAGCGGCTAATTATGGGAAACGCAAACTCCGCTCATTTAAATGATTTCTTCTGTTCTGCTGCGTCTTATCTGTACGTGTGTATACGATGCACGACATTTCGTCGGTTATTATTATTATTATCTTTATGATACCATTTAAATATTTTGCCATGTTTCGCATGCTTCGGAAATCGAATGAATTTTAGGATTAAATTTGTAGGAAACTCTTGGACGATGGGCAAATTAACTGAGCTTCATGGATATCGGAAATCTGTGAGATAACCATGCCATAAATATATGGTCTAGGTCAAAGCAGCTAGCGATCATCGTTAATTAATAGTCGGAACTGGTGTACCTTGTAATCCTCTCATCCACCATGCGAGTGTGCTGTTTATAAAAGCATGCACATCAATACAGTTAGGTTGTTACCACACATTCAGAGCCGTTTTGTTTCTTTTTTCCCTCTAGCTCTTCATCCTATTCAACGTGCCGATAGAGTGAAAGAGAGATAGAGAATACATAATTACACGTCGCTCTTCGGTTACCATTTTTGTTGTCAGTTTTTACGCTCATTGCGTCAGAATGTACGGAATATACATTACGCAAAACTCGACAATGGTACTGTATTCTGCCGCTTCTTTCATTATATTATTTTTTGTTTTGGGCGCGTGTGATAAAGGGAGAGGAGAAAGTGTTTGCAGTGCGATTTCTAACTGGTTTCTGTTTTGCTGAGTTTCTGTTTCTTTTATTATTATTTACGGTTCGTTTCGCCCAAAGATTAATTGGCTTTAATGGGTTTTCGGACAATGGAAAACTAAACGTCGGGGCACGCGTTCAATCAATATTGTTTTTTAAATTGAAGCGAAAGGTTGACGAACTATCCCATCGTGCATGATGCACGCTGTTAAACCGAGATACATGTATAAAATTATATGTCGCTTATATAAGAGGGACGGAGCAATTCATTACGGCCGAAACAGAGATGAAGGAAAAAGAAAGCAACAACAAAAAAAAATGTTTCGTAAATCATAACTGTTATGTTTCGTCGGTCGGAGTGAAAGACCGAGAGGAAAAACGATGCAAGACAAAATGAGTTCGGTAATAAAACAAACAGAATGTTAATTTTCCTGCATTTTTTTGTACCCGAAAACATCTTAATTGGGTTTAATTTATTTGGAACAATAAACATTGAGAAAAATAGCTTTTACTCGCAGAGCAAACATATTTTTTTTAAAGAAAACGTGCTATGATGAATTGAAGAATCAAAGGTCTTAATTTAATCCACGAAAGTATGGTATATTTTCAAAATTAAAAGTTTTTTCTTTGATCAAATGTTAATGCACGAACTTGTTGCTGATGCATAATATAATATGATCTAGTTTTACTAATTTCACAGTCCGTAAATCTTCGACAGGAAACCGAAAAGTAATAACATTGACCGAAAAGAAGTAACTGAAAACAAACACACAAAAAAAACGAGTGTTGGAGCAATTGGACGCTCACTACTCTCGCTTATTATTATTTTTTTTCGATGATCTTTTTTTTTTCTTCAACGAAATCATTTTCGTTGCTTCACGCCGGAAACCTGAATGCGGTTTTCGTATTACACACTCTTTTTTTATTCATATTTCTTTCGGACAACGCACGCATACGAGTCCGTGCGGGTGGTCTGCCCTCTCTTTTTCTCTCTCCGTTTCTTTCTTCCTCCTCTTTGGGGATCCGTGAGAAACGGTGGGCCTTTAGGGGGTTACAAGAAATAAATGGAAGGATAGTCGGAGCGAAGTAATCACCGGTAATTAATGTCAACTGAAGGGTATATACGTGTATATATATAAATAAAAAACGGAGAATGAGATGGCTGGGAACAGGATGTCGTCGTGGACCTCGCTGTCGCCATCATCATCACCATCGGATTTCGGTGATATCTCAATTTCTGTTCCCACCTACAGGTAAAGTTTATTAATTCGGATGAAGTCACATGTTTTTGCATGTTTCCTTTATTTGTTTGTTTGATCCATCAAGTGTTTTATATTAATTAATTCGATCCGGTGTGTTCGGACACTTACAAGAAAGTTTCCACATTGACAAAGGTGCAAATCAAACTGGTTATCTAATACATAGAAATCTGTGCAGACTCAAAATGAGATGAAGTCAACAGACAAACTGGAACTGAAGCGCGCAATAAAGTGGATTTCTATCAGAGTTAATGTACGAGATTTCTTTATTTCTCCATATGTATGTAATCTCATTACAAGGATACAAAGTGACATAGAAACAAAGAATAATAATTTGATATAATCTTAATTTTATTTCTTTCAATTAAGAGAATAATTAATGATAATAAAACTTTTATTGTCAAAAAATGCAATAATCTCGAAAAAATGAGAAATTTGTTGATGAATGAAAGACCGTAAAGTATGTAAATTAATTTGTTATTAGATGGATATAAATTATACATAATTAAAAATCATTACAGGATCAAAATTAGATTAAATTAGTAAACGAACTAGAGCAGAAACGCAACAAAATAGATGTTAATTGAAAATCATCGATAATATAAAATATTCATAATATAAAATTAGAAATTTTAGCGAATTTAAAAGTACTTTAAAGCGCATATAGTAATTAATCTGTTGGAAATGTAAAATTTAACATCTAATGTAATTATTATCGAATCAAAAAGTTATGAAATCAACAACAAACTGGAACTACAACACACCAGACTGGCTGTCGTCTATAAGAGTTGGTAGATGAAATTTCTCCATCTGCGTGTTTGATTTCATTTTAAAATCTTTTCTAACATATGCATAATAATATTATTTTAATTGATATAATATCAAAGTTTATAGAATTCATGCATGATTTATAGAAATTTAAGTAAAATTGAAATGTATTCA